TCTCACTATTGATTATTATTGTTTTTGTTTTCTTTATTATCATTATTACAGTGTTGTTATTATTATTATTGTTATTATTATTTTATTTTACTTTTTATTATAAATTTTATTTACTATGAATTACTATTATTATTACTATTAAATTTTTGCCCGCAGGCCCCGATGTGGGTCAGTGACCTGTACCCGGGTGGGCTAATCCCCTTTAAAAAAATAAAATAAAATATGACTGGTTATGTTTCTATGAAAGGCCGAGTACAGTATGAAACCTTATTTCCCGATGAAATGTGTTTCTTCTTGTAGTCATATTTGCCTATAGATGCAATACATTTTTTATGTTTTTTCTTTTCTTTTTTCTTTTCAGAAGTGAGACGAATGGACTGTTATAACTGGTATGTTACAGGACACAAGAAAGGTAAATATAGACGCACTTACAGCTATATACGGGAAGAAGACGGAAACACAAGTCATCGATTGCTTCGCTACACGTATGATTATGCCTGGGAAAATACACCAGGTCTAAGGGTGATTCATTATATTCCAGGTGACCCAAGGCATCAAGTACAGTGTGTTGGAAAAAAACCAAACTATGAGGTGAGCAATGCTTCACACAATAATCATTTTCATTAATATTGTCTGATTATACCAGCTGACAACTTGTTGAAATAGATGTAGAGGGGTGATCTATTAGCAGTATATGAACATAAGTGGATAAAGTTTTTAATTTATTTACGGCTTTACTACTGATTACATTATCTGAGAGTAAGTTCCATGTACAGTACTGTATAGTATTGATATCCTTCATATAGGAAAAAACTAATAGCCAGTCTTTATTCAGTTGAGGTTTGTTCAATTTAATTTGATGAACTTTTTGAAATAGTGTGACTATACAGTACTTGAATATATAGTGTACTGTACTGTAAAGTACTGTACTGTATTTCTAGATGCAATTTAAATCTGACCTCTACTTAATGAAAATCCTCCCATTACTGACATCTCTCTTCTCATTTAGTCCACTGTTGAGAGGTCTTTTATATTCTTGTTATGATATTTTGTGGCTTTGAAAGATCCTTATTTACTCTAGGTCAAGGATCCCTTTTCCGAAATCCCAAAGACTGAAAGGTTTTGAATGAACCTGACTGTATGTTAGTATGAACACAAATGTCACTGATGGGCCCAAGCCAAAGCCCCTGCATATTAAACCTACAAATATAACAAAGACTGTAATAAAACACATAGTAGCTGATATAAGTTGCATTAGCATAGAAAATACAGGTCGAATCTGCAAAGCAACTACTGTACTGTAGTTGTGGCAATCAGCTGACCTGGCTGCTGCTGTCTCCACTCATCTTAACCTGTAACCCACAAATTTCCATGTTCACACTGATCACTTCTATATTTTTAGCTACAGTATTGAAACAAATCAAACAAAACATGTACTGTCACAATACTGTGACAAGATCAAATCAATCATTACCAAAACCTAATGCATTGGAAGAATACTTAACCAAATCATGTTTCTTGTAACAATATCTTATATGCAAGAGGTTTAAGTAGAAAATTGCATTGATCAGATTTGAGGTCTGGTTATGGACCTGTGTAGGCTAGTCTAGACCAGGGCTATAGTAATTTAAGTAGTTTTAGGCATAAAAAAACCGAATGTATCAAAGAAACAAAATGCAATTGGCTCCAAAGTTCTCAGACAAAGGAACCATAACCTGTACTGATTAAGCCAGCATGGATATACTGTACCTACCTGATGCAGTCACACAACAAAGAATGAACAATGCAATGCCCACCCCAGCTACATTGCACTGACCAGAGACTGCATGCTGTATTCACATCTTTTCATTGTGTTTGGGGAAGTATATCATATTTTTTTTATTCATATAAACAAAACCATATTTATATGGGGGCAATTTTGTCTGTCCGCCTCTTTCTAGTGCAGTTTGCTTCAATTCATATTGAAGCTGGAACAGTTAAGAGATATTGAGTGTGCTGGCACCTTTTTGTGTTGGTAGGGTTTATTCCTTAACTACTGTAGTTTTATCTTTATCCAACACACAAATTATAGATGATAAAACAAATTTGACTCAAAATAGAAATATGTACCTGCAAATGTTAGGGTAAATTAATCCAATGGAGTTCCTTAAACCTAATTTAACAATAAAAACTTATATAATTTTGTTAAAATTTTAGGAGGAGCCTGAGGGACAAGGTTGTGGGCCACTGTACAGAGCTTATACAGCTGCCATGACACATAGAGATGCACTACTTATCATTAGTAAGTACAGGGTATACCATTTCAACAAAGGCCTATTATGATGTATTAGGAGATAATTTTCCTTTTTACTACACTGCCATCATAGGTAAGCTTTGTTGCACTTGGATTATATGTGTAAGAAACCTTGTTTTTTCCCCTCCCTTATGGGTGTGAAGCTGTAAGCATCCAGAGTGCAGATGAAGCACTTTAAAAAACAGCTCTATAAGGTCAATATAACAGGGTTCCAATGGAGAGAGTTCATAATACTGTAGTACTATATCTTCGCTATGAGGGCTTTATTGGGTACCAATAATGGCATAAATTATAATACAGTACTGCACTCATGTTAAATGTTTTAAAATATTAGTAAATAGGAAAATAATTTTCAATGATAATGCACAAAGTTGCATACTCAGCAGTGCATTTGGTCAAACTTAACTCCATCACTATTGGAATCCACTTTTAATATTTTATTTGGCTAAGATTGGCACTATCAGTCATTGATCCTAATATGATCCTCCTCCTCGTACATGGAACCCAACTTGTTCCCCATCTTCTCCAGAAAAATGTTTCATAAATGAGTTGTCTTGGGTGCTGTTAACTAAGTGGTAGAATGAGCAGAAGCTCTTATATTGTCTACATTCTTGACAATGATTAAAGTGATTGACATAGCCAAACCCCATCTATGAACAATAACAACATGAGGGTCACTTGCCTCCACATGTCTTTTGATGTGCATTTTTGCATCTAAACTAATTTTTTTACCTGACTGCTTGGCCACATTACCAACAATATCACTTGTAGGCTTTTTTCAAACATTATGGGTAAAAAAAAAAAAAGTATTACGGTGGAATAAACACATGCATTTGCAAAGTGTTCAAAACTGATGTAGACAGACGTTGATTAGTTGAGCAGTAATCAGTGTATGTCACTCATTTTTTGAGTGTGCAGTTCAGAAGAAAAATGAAAACATTACATTTCACATGGAATTTTTTTATAATTTCATAGATTTAAAGTTTTTGGTTTTGTGAAAAATTTCTGGAGAATAATGAACATTACAGTATAAAGAACCAATGTTCTTTGAATTATCTGTATGTCTTTAATTTACACAGTACAGTACAGTAATTGTAAGAATATAGAGAGTTGATAGTGTCAGAATTGATGTGTCAGTGTTAGAGAAGAACCTCTTGGTTATATGCATGGATTACATTACATTGTATAAGGAAATGAAGTGGATAGTATTTGGATTATGAAAAGCTTGGATTATGAAAATCACTGAAGAGGGTACAGTATTGAGTTTTGTAACTGATTCGTTGAGATTTAACAGTAATCAGCAAATTTAATAGGGGATCATCAAAAGATCATATTCAGTTCAGGAAATTGTTTAAAAATGTAAGAGTGAATTGAAATCAACATCTCATTTCCATATCAATAATGTGAATAAAGTAAGTATGAGTACACCATTCATCAGTGTGAAAGTAATGTACTATATTAGTTTATCTTTCACTCCCAAAGTGGTGTGGTCCATGAGACTTTGTTCAGTACTGTACTATACATTTATTTCATCCCATGTACCAGAAGCTGACTCTGGACTGTGGTTGATTGATATATAGATGCTAGTACAGTATATTGAGGTCAAATGGCCATGTGAAATTAATTGTATTAAATAAGTGTTTGTATATAATTATATTCTGTACATGTAACATTAGATTTTGATGGAAAAGACAAAGAAGTATGCTGAGGGGAGAAATAGAATTGTATAGTACATAATAAACCTCACAATATGCTTTGTCTTTCATATATCACTATCATAATAAGACATCTGCATTTATATATAATATTTTTGTTCCTATTTCAGATGATCCACCAATGTATCATTTGTGTGAAATTCCAATCAACAATCCAGAAGCTGGTGAAGTTTATGTTGTGAAGGCCCCATCACTGGCTCTTGGTAAGCTCATCTTGTGCTATAGTTGTCAGGAATGTTATTTTCAGAACTGATTGAAAATATGAGTACAGTACTGTAGTACAGTACTTCTTTTTCCCTCACTATACAAATGAATATTCACTTTAAAAATATTATATTCTTACTCCTCTTTCTCATTATATGAAAATTATTATCGTTTATATGCAAATGGTACCAAATTTAAATTTTGTTTATTTTTTAAAGTGTTGGGCTCTAAATTACCTGAGTTATGGATAGGTTCCTTTCCTGAAGGCTATTTGTAAGCCAAATTTTACATTAGCTAGAAGCGACCCTTCCATAGGTAATCATTGATGTACAGGTACTCCCCGACTTACGACCTACTCAACTTATGACCACCCGGACATACGACCTCCTCAGTCGTACCAAAAATTTTTCAAATTACGTATTTTTGAGTCCCGACGTTAGTGATTGCGCTGTGTACTGACAAAAATTTTTTTGGTAATTTTCTTTAAAATGGCTGGCAAGCTTAAAAGTGAGAGTTTTGTGGTGCTGAGAAGAAAAAGAGACACCCATTTTAGATTTTCTATGTACAGTATTATTTAAGCATTTCCGACTTACGACCATTTCGACTTACGACCTGGGTGTCGGTCCCTAACCCCGTCATAAGTCGGGGAGGAGCTGTATATGCTGATACAGTAATGTACAGTACTGCACATCATAGATTGTATGCAAAAACAGCAGTTAGCAAGCAAACAAGCTTATCCAATGGCAGCAGACAATGAACTTAGAGTGTAATGCTGCAAGAATTTGAGATACGTCAGCCATTCATAGGCATCCCATGCAATTATATGACAGCACGTGTCCCACTTTGGAAACATGATGCAATCTCTCATAATTTTTTTTTTTTTTTACGGAGATTAGCCCACCCGGATACAAGTCATTGACCCACATCAGGACCTGCAGGGCAAAAATATAATAATAGTGTTAATGATAATAATAATAATTAATAAACTAAATAAAAATAATAATAATAATAAATAAATACAAAAATTAAAAACTAAATCAGGAGTGAGAAACGACAATATGTATGTTGTGTTGTCAATAGTAAGAGAAACAATTGAGACCCTGCAATTGTGTGTAAATGAGGCAGAAAGTCAGATCAGCAACCTGGGACTTGGTCACATTTTTTGTGATGCCATATGGCAGCAGGGTCTACTACCTGTGATGCAATCCTCTGAAGAAAAAAATCATGTCCGGAATGGAGAGATTATTCCTAGAATTTTCAGAATGCTCAGAAAAATTTCCAGCTATTAGAGAGTTCTGGGGATTGATGATTCTGGCTAATGGAGAGATTACTGTTGAAGTCTGAGTTATCAGTATTTTACAATACAGTATTGGCTTAACTTATTGTAGTCAAGTTTAACCCATTTTAGTTCATAGTCAATTTAATAAATATCTTTAGACTAGCAGTAATGTGCAATATAATCACAAAGTTTTTTTCTAAAAATAAGTGCAATCATTATTATAAATTTTCATGTGACAACCTCTCAGTAGGTTTTATTCATTGATTAGATTTTCCTTAAGATTAATGTATGGTACTACAATACAGTAATTGTTTTCTGTTCTCCTGAGACAGTCTTGTAAATAGCTCAAATGCCTTAGAAGATAGGTCTGTATAAAAAATTTCCTACACGGATCTATAAATACATTATAGTATACAGTAGTGCATTTGTAAGTTTACTCCATATTGACTGTTTCTCCACAAGAGACAGTTATACCTACTAGTATCTCATGTGAATATTTTTTTTCAACATGCCACAAGCAAGAATTTCATAAAACCCTTCTTTTGAAATTCTTGGCCTTTATAGGAAGAAGAGAGTTGATGTATGACAACCTAACATGGAGTGAAGGACAAGTGAAGCATGTTGGAGGTAAACGTCCAGTTGTGCGGAAAGTAAGTTTCACCTTAGTGTTGTGGTATGTATGTGGTAATACAGTGGGTCCTCATTAATCAAATTGGTGCATTATGCATATATAGTATGAGTAAGTCATCAAAAGTTGCACCAGAATGCATCAAATTGATCAATACTCTTAGGATGTTCTCAATTGATCTTCTATGTTATTTTACGTGAGAATCTTTACACCTATTCTCAGAGTGAGAATGAATGACTCCTCTCACATCAAAATGCTGGATATGCATGACAACATGTATAAGCAGATGTGTTCAGCAAAAATTTTAATTTGTTTTTTCAGACAAAATGTATGTCTGTTGACCCAGAGGATGGAACAAAATCTGATGCCTTCTTTCGGGTGACGTGGGAGAGGATGGTGGATTTATCTGCTGTTGATGTTGAGCTACCCACCACTAGGAAAAAACAGGCATATGTTATCATTCACTATTTGGGAGATGAAACACTGGTAAGTACTGTCATGATCAACAACATTTTACAACCATTTTCCATGTTCACATGAGTTGACTGTGGTTATCAGATGGCAGTTCTCCATTCTGCATGGTCTCTTGCAGCCTCTCTCATCAGGTTTTTTTTCTCTAATGTCATTTCTTACAATCTCTCCCTAGACATTGTTGGCCTACTTCTGATTCTCCTTCCCTCCACATTTAGACTCTTTCATCCCTTCTTGACTCAATTAGTTACCCCCATTCTTTCTTTATGCCCAAACATTCTTAGCTTGCCTCTCATTTCAGTTTGTTCAAGCTTATCTATATCATCCTCTTTAACTACCCATGTTACACTGCCATACAACATTACACTTCTCATCCCAGTTGCATAACCATACATCTTTCATTTCATGTGGAGGGAATGCCCTCTTGCCATCAATAAGACAGCTACTTCCTAAACGTCCTCCAGCCACTTACGACTCATGCAACTGGGCTAGCTTCATCACTGACTCAAGCAGCTATCATATCACCCAGGAAGCAGAACTCATTGACATAGTCCTAGTATGTATCCTCAATGCTGAATTTCTCCAGCCTTGCTGATGCTATATGGTTACCTGCAGCAACATCTACCATCTTCTTTCCTGCACCTTATGTGTATGCACCTTCCACACTCACTGCATATTATTGAGTTTCTGCCAATAGCTTTCTCACAGACAGCTTATGGCCATTTACCTCAATCCACCACAGGTTCCCTTACCTTTTCCACTAATAAATACTTTTATTTTTGCCACATTCACTCTCAAACCTTCTGTCCCTTCCATCCTTTCATTTCCTAAATTTCTCCAATACCTCTTCAATACTATCAGTTGCCATCACTAAGTTATCAACATCATTGGTGTAGATTTCTTTTGATTGAAGGGGGTGATGACTTCTGAGACTTGTAGAAATGCACCTCCAAACATAATCATACCAGTGCTGGATTTAGAAGTGCTGGGAGAGTGCAAGATAGGTAGATACCAGGTAGCCTCACGCAGGCCCATGGGAATTCACTAATTGGCAACTCTACTCTTGAGATAGCTAAGCCACGCCCCTTTTGCCACTTCATGCATTTGTAATATTGAGGTATTATTATCTGCTTCTACTGTTTGATGTAACTAAGTGGGCGGAGCTTAATAAGTGATGTCATCGCTAGCCAATCAGCGACGTTGGATGGAATCCAGCGGGCGCAAGTAAGATATTTATATTTATTTTATATCTTTATTCAGTGGCTCCAATTAAAATAAAACAAAAAATCTCCATTCCATACATTTATTGTACAACTTTTAATGCCATCATAAGCCTTCAAAAATACGTAAATAAAAATTTCATTTTTATTTTCATTAGCGTAGATCCTATGGGAGTGAGGCTACCTGGTATCTACCTACCTTGGGGAGAGTGTGGCTGAACAGGGCCTCCACACACACACACACACACACATATATATATATATATATATATATATATATATATATATATATATATATATATATATATATATATATATATATATATATATATATATATATATATATATATATATATATATATATATATATATATATATATATATATATATATATATATATATATATTCAAAAATCCTTACTTTTGAGGTGTGTAAGTCATATTCCTCGGTAGCTTTTGCTTATATATCAAACAGCTGAATGTAGAGGCAGTTGATGATGACGTGCCATATTCCTTACAGAGTGCATTTGTTCTAATGCGTTCTTCATGTTTCATTATAATTTTTGCTCCGTATATTATCAATATGTTAACTAAATTTCAAAATGACCAATAACTTTAATGTAAAAATGCAAAAAATATTCAAGAGACCAACAAAATCGATGTTCACTCCACTGTAAACAAAGTTAAACTGAGAAGTGTTATTGGGTGATTCAATCAGCTGATGGGTGCACAAAAACTGTTTCCTGTACTGTATATATTATCAATACTGTATGTTAACCAAATTTCAGAATGACCAATAATTTTAATATAAAAAATGCAGAAATATTCAGGAGACCAATTTTCTTGATATTTACTTCACTGGAAACTAATGTAAACATAGAACCAATTACTGTATTGGCGGACTAGCCGATCAGCTGATGTGCACAACGAAACGTGTTTGTCGTAAAGATTTCGTTAATCGAACTGAAAATCCTTATGGGAGCTAACTCGTTAACCGAAATTTCGTGAATCGAACCGCTCAGTTAATTGGGGGACTTCTGTGTGTGTGTGTATATATATATATATATATATATATATATATATATATATATATATATATATATATATATATATATATATATATATATATATATATATATATATATATATATATATATATATATATATATATATATATATATATATATATATATATATATATATATATATATATATATATATATATATATATATATATATATATATATATATATATATATATATATATATATATATATATATATATATATATATATATATATATATATATATATATATATATATATATATATATATATATATATATATATATATATATATATTGGAGGCCTGCGTAAAATGAGAAACGCGTAAATGAAATAACAGAACATATGGGATGAATTGAAATAAAGACTGGGCCGACCCACTAACTCCACTTTTTGCGACACAATACGTACCTTGTAGTAAAAATATTAACTTAATTTTATGATGGTATGCACACACACATAATATAGAAGAGAAATATTAATAAGAGAATAATATACTGTACCAGGTAAAAGAAAAATCAAGGTTTAACACTTACGTTAGGTTAGGCGAGGTTCGAAAAAATCAAAGTTTAACACTTACGTTAGGTTAGGTTAGAAAAAAATCAAAGTCAGGTTAGGTTTAACACTTACGTTAGTAGAAGAGATGGGTCGGCATACATTGATGGGGGCTGGTTCCGAGGCAGAGGGAAGATTACTGGCCCTTAGGTGAATCACCATCACTATCCACCACAGTTGTCATTGCCTCCCTGACAAATCTCTCAAAGTCAACATCACTATCACTGGCTTGGGCTGGCTGTGGTGGGTTGCGGGCGAAGAAGTCTATGATGTTACGCTGACGGCTAGTGTTGATGTGTTCGTGATACATCTGGATGTACGGCTCCATAGTCTTCAACAGCTGGTTATTGAAGACCTCATAGCGGTGATCGGCAGGGTCGTTGGAAAGGACGAGCTTGAGTTTCTCCGCAAACTCGATGGCATCCTTTACATTAACTTCTGTTGTTCTCGGGCTGCCCCACCACCTGCATCTTCACTGACATCATCGTCTTCCAACATCTCGTCAGCAGTCACCTGAGGATCCCTGATCACCTCCATAATGCCGTCGTTGGTGTTCTCGGAGAAGCCTGTAGCTGTAACACTCTGTGCAGTTTCTCTTGCAAGGTCCACTGCCACTGCAACAGACTAAACCTCACCAGTCACAGGTTGACTCTGCCTCCCACCTGGGATACCTTGCAACACATGCCGCCACTCGTGACGAATCGTTGCCACAGACAGCGGCCCCCATGCCTCCACCAAGAAATCAACAGCTTTCTTGATGTTGAATTTCTTCCAAAACTGTTTGACGCGAACTTCTTGCTCCGCCAACTCTTCTTTCTCGTTCTCATCGCTCTCGCTATCGGTGTCACCCAGGTTACGCAACTCATCCTTGGTGTTGGTTCAGTCGTTCAGGAGCTTAAACTTCTTTGCAGAGAATGCAGCCTTAACGTCGTTGCATATCAACTCCTGGTCCATGGGCTGGATTAACGACGTAGTGTTGGGAGGAAGACCACTTTTACGTTGGGGTGACGATCCAACAGTAGGGGCTAGTGTTCTGGTGCGTTGTCAAGGAGCAACAAAATGTTGAATGGAACATTCTGTTGCTCGCAGAATGTCTTGACGTCGGGAACGAAACAGTCGTCAAACCAGGAGAGGGACAGAGTAGTGAACATCCACGCCTTATGTGCGGTTAGCCAGTGGAGATTTAGCTTGGTCATGTCCATGTTCTTGTAAGCGTACGGCTTGTGGGCCGTGTGGATCACCGATAACTTGAGCTTACAGGTACCGGAGGCATTGGTGGTAAACAGGATGGTGATGCACTCCTTCTGCAATTTCCGGCCCCGACACTTGCTGGCAGACTGGACAACGAAGGTCTTGGTAGGTAGCTTTTTTCAAAACAGACCGGATTTATCCATGTTGAACACCTGGTCGTCGGTGTACTGTCCTTCCTCCATAATGTCACGTAAGAATGGAGGAAATTCCCTAGCCTCAACACGGTCAGCACTCGCTCCTTCACCAGCAATGTTAATGTTGGTGATCTTGTTCCTCTTCTTAAACCCTTGCAGCCACCCAGAGGAAGCAGTGAAGGGTTTGGGCTCTGCAATTCCCATCTTACGTGCCACTGCTACGTACAGTTTACGTGCATAGTCCTGAACTGAGCGCGTGTCCACTGCCATGTTACGTCTTGTCTGACGAATCAAGTAGCTCACCAGCAAATTCTCAGTCTTGAGCAGCACATTGTTCTGGCAGTACTTCACCATTGAAGCACCTGCAGACTTTGTGATGCTCATGTGTTCTTTTATCTTGGCGGCATCCTTCTTGATCGTCCGGATCGTAGATTCGTTCACGCCATGCTGGCAAGCCAAATCAACTTGCCTCGTTCCTTTTTCAACTCTTGTACGATCTTGTACTTAACTTCATAACTTAGGGCACGTCGTATCTTCTTTGGCTTTGAGCGGCTGGGTCCAGGTAATGCAAGGTTTTTCTGTAGTGGTGGGGGTCCAGCGTATGCCAGTCTTACGAGATTAGCGGGAACAATAGAACACAGTTTACACGGGGTGACTGTGAAGAAGGCGACTGACGGTTTCTCTGTGGTGGCAGGACACGTCATATTACATTGAACCAATCACAGCTAGCGGGGGAGGGAGGTAAGGATGTGTGGCCCAATCACAGTCCGATACGTCATATGACATCACCGA